TCCGTCTTGTTGAGGTCTCTGCCGCACAGGTTTGCCGCGAGGAAATGCGGGCAGAACGCCGGGATGAGACGCAAGGTCGCCGCAAAGCCCGCGATGGACGCGCACACGTTAATGAGCAGCGGGTAGAGGCTTGTGTGCGCCATGGTGACCCGGGAAGTTGCGGGCGGGGGGGGGGGTGTGTGGTGGCGTCCGCTGCACCTGCGCACGGGACGGAAGTGTCCTAGTCGAGGCCGCTGCGCTTTCGAACCTCGGCAAAATGCGCTAGGCCGCGCGGAGTCTGCGGGCGCGTGGGGGTGAGGGGGCCCAAACGTTGAGCCGCGAATCGTCAATTACAACTCGAATAAAAGTCGCCTCAAATAACTCGCACACGAGAGACGCTTAGACGCGCCGACGGGCACCGACGAGGAAGAATTGAAGAGCGCCGTGCCCGAGTACGCGATGTTTTGCGTCGGCGCTGGGACGCGGCGATTGGGCGCGCAGCTGGAGCCAATGGCAGCGCGACCAGTGGCGATATATCGCGATATCGCGAGATGCGGCGCGATATATCGCGATATATCACGCGATAAACTAGAGATCGTCTCGCGGACCACGCAGTGAAGAACTGCGTGCGGTGGTTGCGGGTCTTCTTTGTCCTAAGGTCACCGTCAAAATAGCGCAGCTGTCGTCAATAACCCACGCGGTTTATAACCCGCAATTGTTGCACAGGTGAAATTTAGTTTTCAGGTCCATACGGCGTACAGCCGTTTCAATGCGGGCAACACACGTGCTTTTTGTTGTTGTTTATTTATTTGTGTTTCTCCCTTGTGATGGGACTTTGTAGGATGAACGTTGAGATTTATAAAGGGGCACGGGGTGGCCCATAAGGTCTGAATTTGTCTCGAAAAAGGTATGCACTGATAAGGGTTTGACAGGTATGGAGTAGTGTCGTGTATCGTAGTGTAGTGTATAATGTAGTATATGGTAGTGTATAGTAGCATACCTGTCAACCCATCCGGTTTACCCCTTTTTCTTGTACAGGGAAATTGAGTTTTCAGGTCCATACGGCGTATAGCCGTTTCAATACGGGCCATAAAAAGTGTGTCTGTTTGTGTTTCTCTCTTGTGATGGGACTTTGTGGGATGAATATTGAGATTTATAAGGGGCACGGGGCGACCCATAAGGTCTGAATTGGTCTGTAATAAGGTAGACACTGATAAGGTGTTTACAGATATTAAATAATTGTGAGCAAATGGGAAAGCAGTGAGGATCACATGAATGCAGTTCTTCGGGAACTGTCCATGGTTTTTACAAAAACACCAACGGCTGAGTGACTTTTTTTCGGTACATGTTTTTTTTGTTGCTGCGCGTGTGGTGTTGCGCTGTTTGAAACTTGTGGTTTTCCAAGCCTGTACACATTTTTTTTCTCTCCTGTTACGACGAGCTTTTTCGTCATTTGCACGGCAAGACCTGAGAGCAGATGGCGAGGAGATTTACCGGTTTCGGGGCAGATCCTGGTGGGTCGCGTGTCTCCTCCGCCAGAGGGCAGTGAAGCATTGTCAATGAGATGCGGTGGTGGTGGTGGCGGTGGTGGCGGTGGCTCGAACGGCAGTGGCCACGATCTTGATCCTGACGATACAATGACGCCGTGCTTGACAAACCCCTCCCGTGTTTGTCTCAGAAGAATCCACATCCGGGAGGTGTTGAGCAATCGGTTTTGCAACGTTTGCATATACACAGTACACTGCCCTAGGGACTTTTACACTCACGATTTGGTGGGGCGGTGGCACAGTAGTTGACGGACTGCATCGTGAACCCGTGTAACCCGAGTTCGAAATCTCGCCCCCCCGACTCTCCTTCGCACTGTCGCAATGACAAGCCTCAACTGCTGAAGTCTGTCTTTGATTTTCCATTCATGAAGGCGATGTTGCTAGTCGGTCTGTCGATGTTCAGTGTATCTAAAGGAATTTCAAAACCAGGAGGTGCGATATTTTGGTGTTTATTCTGGACGTGCGCGTTGTTCCACCCTGTTTTCCAGCTTTCTCTTCAGGATCTGGGTGCGATTCCAGGATGGCGAATAGCGTGATCCCAGAGGGGGCATCGGGAATTGAGTCGGCGGTGAGATGCATTGTTGGAAATTATTTCAAGCAGTGCCACGGTGGCGAGATGCTATCTCCTTTGCATGGTGTGCAGAAAGTCGTGGGTTCTAAACCCTATCCCGACGCCTGTAATACTTGGAGTAGGCAAGTTCGCTCTCCGTTGTCGTGTGGATTTTTCTCGGGGTTCTCCGGTTTTGCCCTCCACATTTATAATCAACATGCATTTAGATGACTTGGCTGCTCCTATAAATCCTCACATAATGATAAGACACTTCAATGAGCTATCATGTGTGGCCAGGTCACCTCTGAAAAATAGCTAATCGCTCAGTGGGCTTTACCTGGTAAAATAAAACAATAATAAATATGTATAATCTGCATTGGATGATCTATTTGAGAGTCATCATGATAGACCGAATGCGTTGACACTGTTTTTCAACGTATTATATATATTTTATATTTCAGCTTACACGCTTTCCACACCAATATTATGAAGCAGAATTTGATCAAGCAATAAAATTCTGGATCCGCTTCGACCTATCTTGGTCTCGGCAGCAGGGTCAGGCTTGTTAAGCAAATGCTGCTAGATTACCAAATATTATTGGCAAGCTCATAACACGTCGGCTGTGAGGGTGCTTGGAGGCTGCTTGAATTGAGGGACATTGCCAGAGAGTGAATTCGAAGCCTTCAGTTTCTAGGAATGGATCTTCGGACCTTTAGGTCGTAAATAGTTGCATTTACGCGTTGTGTTTGATGGCTGTCAGAAGTGTAACACAAAACAAGAACTCTGGACTTGTCCACGGGAAGGCGCTCTTTCACCGCGCTTTCAATGGGTAGGATCAATGAATCCCCTATGCATGTGCTCATTATTTTTATCTCATTAATTGCGTCCTCAATATCGTCGTTAATCGTGGTCAATCCGTTGCTGGGATGACGCCTTTCTCAAGCCGCCACCGCCACCTCTCACAATCCTGCGATTTATGAATCCACTTAGCACCTGTACATTAACTGATTTCGATGCCCCATCTCCTAATGAGACGAGCGCTCTCGGATGGATCCCATTCCTTGGCTGCCACTCCGCGTCATCGTGGATTTGCAGTGATCGAGAAAAAATTAATACGTGTAAATATGTATGCTCGTCTTGAGTGGATGTACTTCATTTTAAGCAAATATTTTATGTTACGAGTTTGTGAAGCTCATTTGGACTTATTAATCTGCCTTTATTGCCTGTTACTAAAACACACTGAATATGCCCTATCTGGTCGGATCTCGTAAGCTAAGCAGTGTTATACCTGGATAACGCTTGGATGTGTGACCACCCATGCATAAAAACAAACAGGTGTTGTCAGCTGCTGTCAGCAGATAGCCAGTGCGGCGCAATCCATTTATGTGCTCTGCTATGTTGCAACATCTACGCCAACCCGAACGGACTAGCATCGGTGAAGTAAGGTCCAATAACTCCCACAACCGTCACGGCGCGGAGAGGCCCTCATTCGGCATTGCAATTACAAAAAAAGCGTGGCATATTTGTTGTTATGTTTGACTCCTTTGCAACAAACGTAATATAATTAATTCTTCAAAATGTATGTATATGTTGTCGACAATTGAGGATGTATTAAATAGGTTTATTGAATGTTGTCTATTTGATCATTCAAAGCAGCTACTTTTCAAGCACTGCCCATTGTACACCATGTCATTCAATTGCTTCCCAGAATCTAAAGACCGCCTTCACGGAGGTAATAAATCTCAACGTACCCCCAGTCTGGTCATTTATTAAATCACTGACATTGCAATAAAACACAAGTACCGTATTTGGGAAACTTTTCACTTCCTTTATTCGATTACCGTATTATCTAACAGATTGGGAGTGCGTCTTATAAACCGGTAGGTGTGTACCTGTGTCAGTAACCAGATTTGTATGACTTTAATCACACAGGGGATAGGTTTGGGGTGCAATGGGGAGTATACTCGGTCTACCAGAACTGTTTCGTCTCACACATACCGTGTTCAACCACCACTCTGAAAATCACATCAACATACCCATTCACTAGCTCATCCACCCATCCATATATTAATCCACTCACTCAATCACCCATCCAACAACCATACTGCAGGTCACCTCACGGCCCTTTATGCTTTCATCCCTCGCACTGCTCTTTAGAATTCTCTACCACGGTGGGAAGATGTCAACTACCTCGCCTGGTATACAGCAGCGCATGGGTTCGATCCAGACTCTGACGCCTGTATATTTGGAATTTGCATGTCTCTATCCCCATGGCTGCGATACTCCGGTTTTCCCCTCCACCTTTAAAAACACGCGTTTCGAGTATTTGGCTGCTATACATTTCCACATGCTGATAAGCCACTTTGCTGACCTATCATTTGTGGCCAGGTCGCTTTTGAAAAATAGCTATATAGTTCCGTGGGTTTCTCCTGGTAATATAAAACAAAGTTTATTTTTTTACCATCATATCTTTCCCCCATGTTCTTGAATCAACCTTGCTCACTTTAAGCAACATGTTAACTCTGATCGATTACACCTTTTATTAGTGATGTTTGTTGCTGGCCGCTCGACGTGTTGGACCTGTACGTGTGAAACAAATGTGAAATAAAAGTTACCGCATAAACTAGAGTTTTCGAACTTGTCTATTTTTTTCAACGTGTCACCCCCCTTTGAAACCCAGCACCGGTGCAGCGGGTTGCGTTTTACTGAGTGGCAGCCACTTGCACCATCAACGCCCCACCCCCATTCCTCCCCCCCTCCGTTGGTGGGTGGGTGGTGGGCGCGTTTCTGATTGGCCAAGCGCGCGCATTGCAACCGGTGCAGCCGGGCGCACGGTTGCATTTGATTGGCTGAGACTCGTGCAACCGGAACCGGTGCGGCCGTGCACCCCTCCCCACCACCACCACCACGACCCCCCCCCCCACGTCCCAGTGTCGACTCCGCACGCGCATGGGTTTCGGTGCTCACTCAGAAGCCACCAACACCACCACTACCACCTCGTCGTTGGTGATGAGACGCTGCCTTCTTCAAGCCACACGCCGCCAGTGTTAGATATCAACAACAACCACAGCAAGCAGCAGCAACAAAGCGACGCCACGTTAAATAGCTTAGCATTGCTAACTAATCGATAGAGTTAATGGTCAATGATCCGAGCTGCGTCGGTGATGCGGCGGTCGCGTGTTAATTTTTTAGTAATGATCAGGGCGGCAGGAAGGGAGGAAGCTAGAGTCGGAGCCGCGTAGACAGAGGACCGAGTGTGCGTCTGGGACAATACCGAACATCGCCAGTGCCTGACCGAGTGGCTTACTGAGTGACTCTCACTGGCGCTTCCTGACTAAGTGAGTGCTTCGTCTCTCCCCGATTGAGTCGCCGAAGCGAGAGTGTTAGTGGCTTTTTCGAACGACTCGCCGACTTGCCGAGTGATTCCACACTTTGCGAGTTAGCTTATTGGATTTCCGAGTGCGTTGTCTTACTTATTGAGACTCAGCGTGCTTTGCTGGCTTACACGAATGACTTGATAGGTTGACCGAGTTACTGATTAATGTATTCACTGGCGGATTGATCGTTTTATTGACTGACGAGCTGGCATTCTGTGACTGACAGTAACTGGCCGGTGGACTCTTTGACTGGCTGACTAAATGGCATGCAGACTGGCTTACTGACTAGCCGACTGACTGATTGTTTCAGCTGTCCCTTTATAAAGAGGACGGGAATGATCTGTATGGCTGTTGTCGCTGAGATTTGCCAGCCGTTGCGTTGCAGCGTTGAATCGAGATGTTTGTATTGAACTATGAACGGTGACTTTGGTGATCAGGCGGACGACTTTGAACCCGAGTGACTTAACTCGCTAGCCGACTGACAGATTCGACTGCCAGGACCGACACATACGAGACACCTATTCGCCAAATGGCTGCGAAGTGAGGTTGATAAAGCGACTGCGAACCGACTTTACTACAACAACAACAAGTGACTAAAGGTAATTAATTGTGTGGGTGGTTTGAGCAATAGTGGAGTGACTGAACTCGGCAGAGACATGGTGTGGGTCGCACGTGAATAGGCAGGTGCCAGAATAGTGACTCGTCAAGTGTCAAGACCACATCTGGTGAAACAAAAATAAAGAGAGCTTCAGATTCCGCTTCCGCACGTTGGGAACTCGTGTGTGTGTGTATAGGGGACTGGAGAGAAGTGACTTGGGGGGGTGGTGGGGGGAAGTGTTAACGTTTGGCCCTCTAACGTGTTTGTTCCGGACAACCAGCGACGTTTTAGCTGAGCTGTCTGCAACATCGGCGAAGTGACTCGCGACTCGAGTGCCCCGGCCCGTCGGCGAGGCGCGCCTCGGTGTTCCGTGCGAGCGAACTCCTCCCGAGCCCACCGGGCAAGTTGGTGTGAACCATCTTGCCGGCAAGCGCACGAGTGAAGTTCGTCAACCATTCTTCGTCTCTCGCCCACCGGTGAACTCGACTCATAAAGACCGCCGCAGAAGAAGAAGCCAACTGCTGCCCGTCATGGAACAGCAGCTGCAGCAGGAGGTGGAGGCCGTCCCTGGAGACGAAGCCATCCCCGGTTCCATGGCCGGAGTCCCCGGCAGCCTTGACCTGAGCAGTGCCCAGGGGGTCACCCTCCTGCTGCTGTTCGCCGCCTCGGCCCTCACGGTGCTGGCGTGGCTCGCTCAGTACTTGGAGCAGGGAGGCGGCAGGCGCCGTCACCTGCCGCCTCCTCTCCTCCTTCGTCTCCTTCCCCGGGGACTGCTCGGGGGGGCCGCCGCGGGGCCTCGGTCTCGCCTGGGCGGCGTGGCCGACCCGGCGAGCCTCGTGGCCGGACTGGCGGCCGTGCCCAGCTGGGGTGCGGAGTTGGGGCGCGCATGGCTGAGGGCTCTCAACGAGCAGCACGGACACAGGCACGGGGTGAGTTCTCTTCGTGCAATGAGTTCACGGTGGGGTGGTGGTGGTGGTGGGGGGGTTGTCGAGATGCCTCGACGTGTCCGGGACACTTGAAGTCATCGCCCGACAAAAGTCCCCGGGCACTGCGGGTTAAGTCACTTTCGCTTGCCGTTCGGGCACTTTTAAGTCACTTGCGTGCAGACGCTTCGCTCGAGTTCACCCACACTGATGTTCGTGCACTTTTTAAGCGTACCCAAGTGATGTATGTACAAGCCAACAAGCCAGGAATTCGATTAACTAACGTCCAGGCACATCAAACCGCTGTGCTAGATGTTTTCAAGACACCTTGCAAGAGAGCCTACGAAACAACATCGGTCACATATCACTCATGTCCAGGCACCTCGCATAAATCCAATCCACCTCACCGATGTTCAGACAACGAAGTTAACTTTGCTTGTCGCCCGGACACGTTTAGTCTCCAACTTTGGACACTGCTCCACAGTCACTCGCAAGGTTCCAGGACAGTTTCTCGTCGCCACTACATTGTCCCATGCAGACTTGTCATGCTGTCACCATTCAGGCACCTGGCCGCTTTACGTGTGCCCATTCACGTTAGTATTCTGCTGATTATGAGACGCTTCAGAAAGTAATTAAGTGTAATTTAAGTTCAACAAATCCGCTCGCACACCTTTTATGAAGTAGGTACACCCCTAACTTTTGCTTTTAAAACACTAAGTGCGTCTTATAATCCGCAGACTACTGGTCGAAGTAGTGCGAATGTCAAAAGTTGTGGTTGTCATCGTGTCTGGTGGTGCACGGTGGTACTGTACTGCACTGTACTGCGACACGTGTGTGCGGTGGTGACACGTGTTGGCTTGTTTATAGCGATGCTGATGCCTTGTAGTCTTTACTGTTATCGTTGGTGTCTGGTGTAGTATCGTAGACGTGTGAGAGTTTGGATTTAGTATTTTAGTGTTCGCTTAAAGGCAGCTGAAAGCTTTCTGAGACAAAAAAATCCACGTGTGACCTGAGACACGACACATATAGAGTACGTCCACGTGAATGAATTTCACGTGTAATTGAATGTTAGGTTGTAATTATGTTGACGTATTGCAAGATAGTGTGTGTAAGATTTGAAGCTTTCGTGACTGCAGGAATCCATGCTCTTTGGTTCTTTCGGTAAAGTCACGTAGGTAGAAAAATACAATAAATCACGTTTAGATTGCAACACAAGCAATCGTCATCAGGTGGGAAAACCACAGCAAGAAAACACATTTTTGCGTGTCAATTGTCATGTTGCTACGAAGGTAGTGATTGATGCACGGTACGATTTATACAAGACGGAACTTGTGTTGATGTTTATCATAAACTTGAGTCGCTGAGTTGGTAGTAGTATTCAAGTACCCTACAAACTACAAACAAACAACATTCGACATTCGCATTGAGGAAAAAATATTTACTGACGTCGAGGAAATTAACCTTCAGGGCAGACAGACATATATTAACTTTGCTGTTCGAGTTTGGGCTGTGCACGTTGTGCTTTGTTGACTGTTGTGTTATTAGCTCGCCAGGTTGTGTTGTTAATTTGAATATCCCCATTGTGTTAATGAAAATGCTTGGGCCAAGAATGTGTTTATAGGCGTAGAAGTCGAGAAGGGAAGGACGTTCATACTTTATTTATACGTTGGCATTTACCGCAGAGTACTGCACGTGCTTTGTGCTTCTGTCAGAGATGTGAACTCCCTCGCCTGGTACGCAGGGGGTCGTGGATTCGACCCCGACCCTGACGCCTGCTCTATATTTTGGAGTTTGCGTGTGTCTACGTGGCCGCGTTGATTTTTTTTCTCCACGTTCAGAAACGTGAAACGTGCGTTGAGAGTATTTGGTTACTATACACTTCCACATGATGAGCCACTTTGTTGAGCTTATAAACACTGTGTGTAGGTCTCTCCCTGGCTCCTCCTCCCCCGCCTCTCTTACCTATAAAGCCTCTTGTTACAGCAGCCCTTTTGCCCACTTCAGCAATTCTTTCTTGCTGTGGTTGTCCCACCTGATGACGGACGCTTGTGTTGCGCCCGAAACGTCGTGATTTAATTTAAATTTTCTACCTACGTGACTTTACCGAAAGAACCAAAGAGTATGAGATCCCTGCAGACACGGAAACTTAAAATCTAGATTGTGTGTCGGTCGTTTCTGATAAGAGCTATACAGCTGAGTGGACCTTACCTGCTAAGATAATAATAGTTTGTAGTTTTTTTTATACAACGGCACACTACACCATACACATTACAGTGCACTCATTTGATGTTATTACAATAATAACATTTTCACTATGCTAGGGCAGTACAGTATTGTGTGTTATTGACAACTGTCAAAATGTATTGCCTTTGTCATTGTCACTATGTGGTAACGTTTTGAAGTTCTTCACCATTAACCTTCAGTATTCAGTTTAATAATTACTTGCCATTAATTTATCACGTTATCATTCTCACTCTTCTATCGCCGCTATCATGGTTGTTACTTTTCCCACGAACTCTACCCATAATTAAGGAATCTTGTCTACCAGACTGACTTTTTTTTAATTATTACAAGCTTTTATTTCACTCACTCTGTTGTTGTATCCTCAAATCTTGTAACTCAATTGTAACCCACTTCCCAACGTGGTACCGACTGCAAACTTGGTATACTTATGTCATACTGATGACAATAGCATATTCTATCATAAAAAAATATAATAAAACATTTTAAACGATCTTTTTACACACTTTCTATGAACTCACTCTGTCTTGTTGTATCCTCAAATCCTGTAACTCAATTTTAACCCACTTCCCAATGTGGTATCGACTGCAAACTCAATATACTTATGTCATACTGATGACAATACTATATTATATCATTACAAATTTAAAATATATATTTTTAAGCGATCTTTTTTATATGTTATGTTTCGGCTTGGGTCTAATTTTCCACGCTCAACTGACGTTGGCTGTAAGTCACCACGGGTCCCCTTACGTTGTGGCAAGCTTCGGGACCACTTCCTGGAGTCGTGGTGGAGTTCTTCTGCCATTATTAGCACGGTACATTTCATTAAAGCGTGTTTAAAAAAAAAGTATTTTTAAATATTACTTATTTCTCACCAAAAAACCCAAGGCAAAGATCACACCCTATAGCCTTGACAGACTGTTGGGGCAAGTGCTGTTAGCGAGCACCTGTGAAGGTCGGCTCGGCACGCGAGGGGGTCGGTGGCCAGCACCACGCCCGGCCGCCTTTGTCTCCCCGGTCGCGATGTTCACACAACCGCACCAGGTACTCATTTGAGGCTGAGTCGACCTCTACACTGCAGGTCACAAACACATTTTCTGGTTCTTCCCTCCCACATCTGCTTCAACCCATCTTCTCTTATCTGTTACACATTCAGTCGTGCTGTTTGTTGCTTGACGGGCTTGGCCTTTGAGGACTTCTTTGAGCCTTTGCTAGACAACAGTGGTGACGTAACTGACCGGTTATTTCTCTTAAAATGGAGCGTTACAACGTGTAATTTACTGCCTTTTTGTCGCTGTACATTAAACTACTGTTAACCCGTAATTGACCAGCATGGTGAAGTATGGTCAAACAACTCCCATTACCTTACACGGCGGTCATTGACAAAGGGCTTCCTATACGTTTGTTATTATTTAACTCTCATTGTCCAGTCAAGAGTGAAAAAGCAATCTGCTGTTTCTGCGCCGTGTCGTTGTATATCAGTTCACTCAGCGACTCATGGAATCAGCTGTAACAGTATTTGTGAAGTGAATGTTAATATTGCACGATGACTGCATTGACATTCAAACTAATGTTTGTCCTTTTGTCATTTTAGCATTATGCTCACAACAAACACTTTTGGGGCACACCGTTTGCGTCAGCGAAGGCACCCTATTTTGGCACACTGTTTCTGACTCGACATGTGAATCTTTCAGCAGTCATTTATAGAAATATGTTGACATTGAATTTTCGATTGAATGAAAAACAGCATTCATTATTGCATATTTGCCATACCTGTACATTCGTTAAATATGAAAAGGCTGGCGGAACCCTGTCACTTGAATTTGGAATTTCTACCACTGGCTAAGACATGAAATCACTGCTGTCCTATTACTTGGTTGAGCAAGGTCACAATTTGCATCATCTTTTAAATAAAGCTTTTGTTCTAGTATAGTGTTACTTTATTCCAATAACCTGTTTTAGTAATTATTGTTGTTCCAGGGTTGAGCTGCTGTTCGGAACAGCATTTAAATGTAATATTTGGCCAAGTGCGTCACTGAGCGTTGGTGTCATTAAGTGTTGCCTTGTGGGGAGTTTTAGCCCACAGTTATATGCAACGCAGGGGCTTTTGTATCTGACAAGTGTTCTGTAAGGGACGGCCGCAAATGTGGCAGTCAAAACCAAAAGGTTAGCCCTGTACGTACTGCTCCGTGTCACTGCAAGCGTGTGGATATTCATAAAGGCACACTCTCCATCATTGGTAGTTGTGCAGTTGTGGGTAATTTATCTATGAAACTGGTAATTTTCTTATTTTAGCCACGGTTTCGGTACATAATGGCCTACTGACGCAAACAGTGTGCTGCATATGCGTTTGAGTTTCTTTGATGTGTTGTTCCGTTTCTCGGCTATTTTACAAAACAGATCCGTGGTGCTGCGTGAGACACAGCAACAACAGCAAAACAAAAGACTAAAACATAAGTATTGCAGAGAGCGAAACACGTGAATAAAAAAAACAGAGCAAATATAATACTGTAGGGCAGCAAAAGGTGCCAGAAAATGTTAGGTACGGGTGCAATTAATCTTCTATATTTGAGTCTTCACAGTGGTATAAAAAAAATCTAAAAAGGACGGTGCAAACATGTGGGAGCAAGAGGCGCAAAATAAAAAAAAATTATGTGCATGTGCAAGTAAGCTTTGTGTTTTGGCCTCATTGGGAAATCAAGGAGGAGTGAAGGAAGGAAACCATGATATTTGGTTGGGCTTCCAGAATTTCGGAGAACTCC